GATACAAAGCTAGATTAGTGGCACGTGGGTTTACTCAGAAATATCTTATAGATTATGAAGAAACATTTCCTCATGTGGCTAGAATAGCAAGTTTTCGTTTCATATTATCCATTTCAGTCCAATATGATTTGAAGGTACATCACATGGATGTAAAAAGTGCTTTTCTAAATGGTAAATTAAATGAAGAAATCTATATGAGAGTGCCCCAAGGTGTATTATGTAGTGCTAATAGTGTATGTAAATTGAACCAAGCAGCAAGATGCTGGTTTAAGGTATTTGAACAAGTGTTAAAAGAATGTGGATTTGTAAATTCACCGGTAGATCGATTTATTTATGTTCTTGATAAGGGTGACGGGAAGAAAAACATATATTTACTTCTTTATGTAGATGATTTAGTTACTGCCACATCAGATTTAGAGAAAATGAAATGTTTCAAATCATAGTTAATGAACAAGTTCAGAATGACTGACTTGGAAGAAATATGATATTTTATTCAAATGAGAATAGAAATTGATGACGATAAAATACTTTTATGTCAAGCTGCTTATATTAAAAAGATTTTGAATAAGTTCAAAATGAAGGATTGTAAATCAGTCAGTACTCCACTGAATTAGCAAGCAAGCTTAATTATGAATTATTAAATTTAGATGAATGGCATGACGCGCCTTGTCGGAATTTAGTTGGTTGTCTTATGTGTGTTATGTTATGTACACGTCCAGATTTGGTCACTGCTATTAATATTTTAAGTCGATATATGAATAAAAATAATGCAGAATTATGGATTTGTTTGAAAAGGATTCTTAGATATCTAAAAGGAAATATTGATATGAAGTTAGAATTTAAAAGGAATTCGAATTTTAAAAATATATTTGTAGGGTACGCAGATTCTGACTGGGGAGGAAATAAATCTATAGAAAGAGTACAACTGGGTTTTTATTCAAAATGTTTAACCAAAATCTTATATGCTGGAATACAAAAAGGCAAAATTCAGTAGCTGCTTCATCGACTGAGGCAAAATACATGGCCTTGTTCGAAGCTGTAAGAGAAGCTTTATGGTTGAGATCCCTATTAGAAAGTGTTCATATTAAATTTGAAAGACCTATAAAAATATATGAAGATAATCAGGGATGTATTAGTATAGCTAATAATCCCTCATGCCATAAAAGATCTAAACATATTGATATAAAATATCATTTTACGAGAGAGCAAATAAAAAATAATGTAATTTGTATTGAGTATATTTCCACAGAGAACCAATTTGCTGACATTCTAACTAAGCCGTTACCCGCTCCACGCTTTATGGATTTACGAAGAAAAATGGGACTGGATGGAGCAAATAATGAATATGAATATTTTTTTATTAACCATTACTACTTTTTTACTTTTTTTGGGTTTTCCCAATCCTAGCAGCGAATGCTGCTACGTTCCCAATAGAAAAGAAAAGAAAAGAAAAGAAAAGAAAAGAAAAGAAAAGAAAGAATACAAGCAAGCACAAGCCACATAGATTAAGTTGAAACGTGTAATATTAATTTTAATTTTTTTTATAATGCTATTTTTGAGGGGGCGTATTGAATATACCTAAGAATATCCCCATTATAATTTATAGTATATACCAAAACCAGCATTATATTGTTATTGATCTCTGGTACTGAACCACGCGGTTAATCTCTCTCTCTTATTTCTGATCTCGTAAGCTGTGGTTGATTGTGCTGTGATAAATAAAAGAAACAATAATTAAATACGAAATACGCTGATCTATTTATTTAAACTTGGAATCCCAACATTAAATGATCTACTTTTTATTTTTATGTATGTTTGTTGTTAAAAGCCGCCGCTCGAATTAGTTAGTTAAAGCCAAACACCCGTTTTCGTTTCTGTCACCACCCCTAAAATTCAATCATTTTACTGCTACTGATATGAATTTGTAAACCAAAATGAAATTTTTGCTGAATTATTAAAAAATATACTATAACATATAATATTCTTATTATACCCGTTACTCGTAGAGTAAAAGGGTATATTGTATTCGTGCAAAAGTATGTAACAGGTAGAAGGAAGCGTTTCTGACCCTATAAAGTATTAATATTCTTGTTCAGGATCACTAGCCGAGTCGATCTAGCCATGGCCGTCTGTCCGTCTGTCTGTCCGTCCGTATGAACGCTGAGATCTCGGAAACTATAAAAGCTAGAAGATTGGCATTTTGCATGTAGATTTTAGGAGTTCCTAGGCAGCGCAAGTTTGTTTCAAAATGGTGCCACGCGGCCTCTGACGCCCACAAGCCACAAGCTGTGGCCACAGTTTTGCTTATTATGAAAATTTGAATTGATATGTATTTGTTTCGTCAATACCTATCGATTGGCCTAATAAAAGTTTGCCACGCCCACTCTAACGCCCAAAAACCCATTAAACGCTTAAGCCTGGCTAGCGCCTACATTTCCGCCTTTCATGGCCCGTGGTACCAATGTCTTGGGGTAGATGGCGCAATACAATAGCGCCATCTAACGGATGACTTTGGAACAGCTGGCCAAGGTGCTAATTCGAGCGGCGAAAAACATACAGGAAGGCATATTTATATTAAGGCAGGCTTGCACCTTGTGAGGTCAAAAAAATAAATTTTTTTTTTTTTGCAGTTTCGAATACATACATGTTTTAATTTTATTCTCCTAAAATTTCAAGTCGAAATCTCTTGAATTACGAAAGTTATCGGCCGTTTGGTGGACCGGTGTCAAGCGCGTTGCCATTATAGTCCAAATTTTCAAACGCGTTTTTCTCGAAACCATGTTTTCCGAGTTGGCTGAAGTCGTACAAGCCGCAAAAATTGTGCAATCGTCATGAAATTTTTTATACATGTTCCTCAGAAGTATGTGCATGGCATAGACTAGGATCTTTTGAAAATATTAAAAATTGTTTATTTAAAAAAAAATTGAGTAACGAAAAAATGAGGAAAAAACCGATTTTTTTTTCAAAAGCTCATAATTTTTGCATTTTTTATGTTTTTTCAATTATCCTAGTTCAAGCCATGCGAGCAAGTGTACAGATTAAGAATATATTCGTTTTTTGCGTTTCAGATTATTTCTTAAAATTCCAAAAAATCCGCCATGAGGACGAGTTTTTCGCGGACATGCCGCCATTGTTGGGTACTCCCCCTCCCCCCTTCGCTTGGATCGCACTCAAAAAAATTGTGTAGCTTCAATAAACTGTACCCTACAACTGGCTAAAATTTTATTCCCACACCTAACATACTTTCCAAGAAATAAATTTCAGAAAAAAATCAGGTTTTGGGCGCCAACAAGGTGCAAGCCTGCCTTAAGTTGTTTAGCTGAGTAACGGGTATCTAATAGTCGAGGCACTCGACTATAGCGTTCTCTCTTGTTTTTATCATTAACTCAATAGTGAATACGCCCATATTGTTAGGGTACCAAGTCTGAAAAGTAGCAAAAGACAAAATATTCTTGCTGCATCGAAATGAAATGATCGCACACATGCACCCCTGTATGAGAATGCATGAACACGCATACATACAAACCAATTCAAGCGCAGGGCAACCTTCTTCAAAATGCGCGTCTCTGCGACTGAACGACCGAACTCAATTGCAATTAGCGCGCGAGCATCAAAATGAGAATAAGAATGAGAGCGAAAAAAACCCGAAGGCACACGAAGTGTCCGGGGCCTGCCGCTTAGAGCGCTGGGGCCTGCCGCTTTAAAACTTTTGTGTCCATTTTCGTTGTATGAAATGACCAGTCTATATGTTGTATGGTTAGTGGTAGCACGCTGATTTACGCTTAGTGTTAACAAAAAAATAAAACTATTTTGGATCTTGTGAAAACTGGATCCTACAGAGTCAGATAACTTTTATAACACCGGGCGTTAAGCACGGCAAAATTTGACCGAGCCCTTGGGTATCGGGAAAAGGCAGATTGTAATCCACACATTTTAAATTTGTTGAAGTCTTAACTAAACATTTTATGGGTGTGACAACTCCTTATTAAAAGGTTTATTGGAAATTTATGGACAGTATAACGGAACACAACAATAATTTTATACCTAGGAGTTCTTAATAATCTTAATAAATTCGTAATAAGTTAGTAATTAAAACAAGAGAGAACGCTATAGTCGGGTGCCCCGACTATCAGATACCCGTTACTCAGGTAAAGGGAGTGCGAGGGAGATGGAGATAGAAACTTTGATCACGCATAACTTTTTAACGAATGGTCCGATTTGAAAAATTTCTTCAACATTTCGATAGGTATTGATAAACACAATAAAACTGCATTTTTACTTTTCCGAAATATTTAAATTTTTAAAATCGTATATAAGCGATTGTGGGCGTTAAAGGGGGCGTGGCACCTTTTTGAAACAAACTTGCGCTGCGTAGGAACTCCTAGAATCTGCATGCAAAATGCCAATCTTCTAGCTTTTATAGTTTCCGAGATCTCAGCTTTCATACGGACAGACAGACAGACAGACGGACAGACAGACGGACATGGCTATATCGACTCGGCTAGTGACCCTGATCAAGAATATATATACTTTATAGGGTTGGAAACGCTTCCTTCTAGCTGTTACATACTTTTGCACGAATACAATATACCCTTTTACTCTACGAGTAACGGTTATAAATACATAATTAATTCTTATTAAAACGTACCTATCAGATAAAAAAAATGTTAATATGTGCACAGTTAATAGATTTTCTAAAATTCGTTAACATTCATGCAACAACCCAAAAAAAACATATACATAAAATTGTGATACGAAACGAAAGTTTACAATGTTTTTTTAATAACTTACTAGAGAAAACGAAAAAGAATAAAAAAGGTCAAGGGCACTGGCTTAGTGCATCAATCTCATTCAAAATTGTCAAAATATACATTTTTAAATATTTGGACTTTGGAATTTTAAAGTCTTAATTTCAAAGAGTTTGGATTTAATGTGACAAACAATTTTACGGATATATATTAATTGGGTTGAAATATTTCGATACTTAGTTTTTGACTTACGTCCAAAGGAATCTCCAAATCCATCACCGTCTAATCGAGCCCCAGATATGTCTGCCTGGGTCTCGGTTGCATGGGGATCCAGTGACTCAATATTTTCCAAAACGTCACTATCAAATAGTTTATCCTAAAACAGAGTAGTAAAATTATATTTTTAAAAAGGTTATAAAAACGAAGAGTATTAAAATCATATTTTTAAAAAGGTTAAAAACACAAAAAAAACCCAAGTCTGATATTATCCGGTCTTGTAAATTACTGTTTGATAAATACTGCTTATTATACAATAAACAAGATCTAATATTTTTATAGAGGGTATTATAATATTGTTCAAAAGTGTTCAACGCAGTGAAGAAGACATCTCCGACCCTATAAAGTATATATATTCTTGATGTCCGTCTGCCTGTTTCTACGCGAACTAGTCTTTCCGTTTTAAAGATATCGAATTCAAACTTTGCACACACCCTTCGTTCCTTTGCACGCAGTATATAAGTCGGAACGGCCGGGATCGGCCGACTATATCCTATAGCTGCCATATAACTGAACGATTGGAAATGCCATAACTGTGGTGTTCTTAAAGTTAGGAAGTTGGAATTTTCTATTCGTTTTATATTTGGCCAATTACCCCGACCTACCAAATTTCATAAGGATCGGCCGACTATATCCTATAGCCGCCATATAACTGATTGATCGGAAATGCCATAACTTTGGTGTTTTTGAACTTAGGAAGTTGGGATTTTTTACGAGTATTAAGAATGCATCATATAAATAATTTTGGATAATATAATTTACAGAGTATTCTGCAAGGTATATCAACTTCGGCTCCGCCCGAAGTTAGCTTTCCTTTCTTGTTTCTATTATTAAATGACATTATATTGACTTGTTTTGCATTAAAAAAGCTATTGACATGAAACCATGCAAATCTAATTTATTTATGTATACCTTGCTCAGGGTAAAAGTTCTTGCCAATCAGACAACTATGTACTATGGCCATCCTTGATCCCATCAATAAAAAACAAGAAAGGAAAGCTAACTTCGGGCGGAGCCGAAGTTGATATACCCTTGCAAAATATTCTGTAAATTATATTCTTCAAAATTATTCATATGATGCATTCTTAATAGTCAAAAAAACACCAAAGTTATGGCATTTCCGATCGTTCAGTTATATGGCAGCTATAGGATATAGTCGGCCGATCCCTGCCGTCCCGATATATGTACTGCGTGCAAAGGACAGAAGGGTGTGTGCAAAGTTTCAATTCGATATATTTAAAACTGAGAGACTAGTTTGCGTAGAAACAGACAGACGGACAGACAGACGGACAGACGGACATGCTTATATCAACTCAGGAGGTGATCCTGATCAAGAATATATATACTTTATAGGGTCGGAGATGTCTCCTTCACTGCGTTGCACACTTTTGACTAAAATTATAATACCCTCTGCAAGAGTATAAATATATAATAAAATGCAACAAGAGAGAACGCTATAGTCGGGTGCCCCGACTATCAGATACCCGTTACTCAGGTAAAGGGAGTGCGAGGGAGATGGAGATAGAAACTTTGATCACGCATAACTTTTTAACGAATGGTCCGATTTGAAAAATTTCTTCTACATTTCGATAGGTATTGATAAACACAATAAAACTGCATTTTTACTTTTCCGAAATATTTAAATTTTTAAAATCGTATATAAGCGATTGTGGGCGTTAAAGGGGGCGTGGCACCGTTTTGAAACAAACTTGCGCTGCGTAGGAACTCCTAGAATCTGCATGCAAAATGTCAATCGTCTAGCTTTTATAGTTTCCGAGATCTCAGCGTTCATACGGACAGACAGACAGACAGACAGACAGACGGACAGACGGACAGACGGACATGGCTATATCGACTCGGCTAGTGACCCTGATCAAGAATATATATACTTTATAGGGTCGGAAACGCTTCCTTCTAGCTGTTACATACTTTTGCACGAATACAATATACCCTTTTACTCTACGAGTAACGGGTATAAATATGTTAAAAAATTAAAGGGTGTCTAAAACGAATGAAGTGAAAATTAGTTATTTAATAAATATAGAAAATCACAAAATTGGTGATCAAGTGGACTATGTTGTACGGGAGAAATTTTAAATAATAGACAACTGTTAAACAAAGACCGAAAGAAAAACTAACCATATTATATAAATATTTAAAAGGGGGAATTATAATGAAATGTTAATCATAGGGGTTAGATCTACCAGAGTTTTCTGGTGTTAAAAAGGATAATACTTTGGGGCGTGTGTATACAATACATCCAAAAAATAGTGAATGTTATTATTTAAGACTTTTACTTCACGAAGTTCGGGGTCCAACATCATTCTCTTTTTTAAAAACAGTAAATGGTGTTTTGTAATAAACATTCCAATTGGCTTGCAAATCTTTAGGCTTACTAGAAGATGATAAGCACTGGGACTGCACATTGGAAGAAGCAGCATTATGCCAGTCTCCAAATAAATTGCGTGACCTCTTTGCAATTTTGTTAACTCATTGTCAGTTATCTGATGCTATGCTTCTTTGGAATAAGTACAAGGAAAGTCTTTCAGAAGATATATTGTATAGACTAAAATCTAAAATAGATGACGATATAGATCCAGAACTTATAGAAAAAGTTTTTAATAAATGTTTAATTTGTATTGAAGATCTCATATTGTCAATGGGCGGAGATGTCTTATCAAGTTATGGTTTACCCAAGGCAATTAGAGATAAAGAGTTTTTGGAAAACATTAATTACTTGCGAGAAATAAATTTTGAATGCAATGAAGCTCAAGTAAGAAACGAGGAAAATTGTCTTACTCTTGAACAAAAAAACTGTTATAAAACAATCTTAGACAGCATTGACGCTGGAAACGGAGGAATGTATTTTTTTGATGCTCCTGGTGGCACTTGAAAAACGTTTCTTTTAAATTTGCTATTGGCAAAAATTAGACAAGATAAAAAAATTGCATTAGCTGTTGCATCTTCAGGAATTGCGGCCACGGTCTTACCCGGAGGACGTACAGCCCATTCAGCATTTAAGCTTCTTTTTGATTTAATAAATATAGAAACACCTTATTGTAACATTTCCAAACAGTCTAATATGGCATTCGTCCTTATTAATGGGAGGTATTACCGTTCTATTAGCTGGAGATTTTAGACAAACGCTCCCAGTTGTACCCCGAGGAACAAGGGCTGATGAGATAAAATCTTGCATACAATCTTCCTTTTTGTGGTGTAAAATACAAAAAATGGCTGAAATGATGAAACTGCCGGTGATTTTGCCCGAACTTTACTTATAATAGGAAATGGAGATTATCCGACGCAAAATAAAATTGCCATCAAGCTTGGGTACTGTAGTAAGCACATTGGAAAAGCTTACTTCTAAAATTTTTCCTCATATTTCAGAAATCATACATAAGTCATTGGACTGGTTATCAGAACGAGCCATTTTAACTTCAAGAAATGACAGAGCTGCTTCAATTAATGATCAGCTAATAAAATCATTTAATGGAGAGGAAGTTACGTACAAATCAATAGACTCTGTTACTGAGCCAGAAAATGCTGTACATTATCCTGTAGAATTTCTTAACAAGCAGAATCCAGCTGGACTCCCATTGCATATTCTTTCGCTTAAGGTCGGAAGACCAATTATGTTATTAAGAAACTTAAAACCCCCAAAATTATGCAATGGAACAAGATTGCAAGTGAAAACTCTTCACAAATTTGTTATTGAAGCCGTTATTTTTACTGGCTGCGCCAAGGGAGAGACAGTATTCATACCAAGAATTCCCTTAACGTCATCGAACTTACCTTTTGAATTTAAACGCCTACAGTTTCCTGTAAAGGTTTGTTTTGCGATAACAATAAATAAATCACAAGGACAGACTTTGAAAGTAGCTGGATTAGACCTTAGGGATGTGTGTTTCTCCCACGGCCAATTTTATGCGGCCTGTTCAAGAGTCAGCTCGGCAAAGAGCCTTATGATCCTGTCTTATGATGGTCAAACAAAGAATGTTGTTTACAGAGAGGTTTTAAAATAAGAATATATTAAAAATGTTTTAATTGTGGACTAGGCCTATTTGGGAAACCACCTTAAATAAAAACGCGCCGTATCCCCTACCTCCGGGTGGTGTGGAAATGGGGGTTCATTTTAGTTTCAGTTAAAAACTTAAAGTGTAAGGAAAGAAAACCTCAATTACATTAAATTATATAGTTAATACTCTATTACTTTTAAATAAGAACTCCAGCTTAAGATAAATGCGAATAAAAAATATACCGAGCTATCCGCAAAATATATCTACATATCTACATTCAAAACAAGAGAGAACGCTCGTTACTCCCTTTCCTTTAATAGAAATCCTGTAATGATTCTCGTGGCAATAGGAGTTGCCTTTTAACTAGATTTTTGATTTAAGAGCGGTTAGCACTGGGACGTTTTCGGCTAGGACTTCGTCGGATTGGGGGGATCTTTTATCAACGAAATTACAAGAGAATGTGCTAACCTAGCCAGATGTTACAATTTTATTTATGTTTATGCGTATTGTTTTATTTTTTTTTATGAGCTTGGTGTAAGTGCTCTATATTACCCGCCCAACCTTGTTAACACTTTGCAATGCTTTGAATTTGGTGTCTTAACCCTTAAGTGATTTGATGTGTGTTTGTTTTTCTTTTAGTACCCCATTATATTAAATTAGTTCAGTTTCTCCATGTTAATATTCAGATATAATTCTTGTTCTTAATAGCAATAAATATGTATATAAAAATAATCAAGTTCATTTCAATATCTTATCTCTTTTCTAATTATTAACAAATACTTCATTTTTAATTTCTTGAGAGAAGGCTTATCCTAATATATGTATTCTTAACTTATTGAAGGGTTGAATAATGTTTAAATAATTAATTTGATTATATAATTTTCCATTGAACAAGACTATAAAACTATAGAAATTGACTTTTCTTTTTTTTTACTTGACTACCATAAATTTTTTTTTTAAATTTCTTATATATATATATATATATGCATAATAATCTTATTCAATTTTATTTATTTTTTTGTTTTGTTTTTACGTGTTACCTTTTTAAATCCACGTGTGCATGCAGGCCTGTAGCTGAGTGGCT